ATGAAGGAAAGAATTTAAACCAGTCGCGGTTTAAAAGTGGTTTTGAAAAGGTTCGTTGCTTCTTTTAAAATATACGAGAATATACTAGCGTTTGACTAGAATTGTTTTCCACACAGAGAGTGACTGTTTTTACAATTTGTCGACCGTTAGAAGCCCAAATCAAATATTGAATGGCAGAATACGTTCTGATGGATGTAGTCCATTGAAGATTTGGTTGAAGGAGTTCAGGAGTAGATATTCCCACCGTTAGCTAATTTTTTTTACTGCGAGTTGTACGCTCATCTGTGATTTGAAAATAATCTGAGCTCAAACTCTTGGAATGCTACCACATTACTGTTACGGTAATCGAATTCTGGTTGTGAAGTTCTGCGGTGATGATGGCTTAACAGTGTGTCGACGTTTTTCATATTTCACATAGCACACGAAAAGCCGATCTAATTATGTAGACAATGGTTTTAATTCCATAAATATGATTGCTTTTCTTCTTAAAATAAGCACTTTGCTTCTTAACAAGAAGACATGTGGTAACGGCAACGACCTATGTCACACCCTCCATTTAATCGGAACGATAGTAAAATTCCTATTTAATCGCATTACACGGTAGACCAATGGGTTTTACTCTACTGAAGGAGACGAGAACAATTCCTGTAAGTAATTCCGTCACTCGAATGCTTGAAAACACCCCGAGGAGCTGATCTGCTGGCGGTTGTTCTTCAGCGACCGTTGTTCAAGCGCATGCTTTGTTTGACGATCGTATTTTTGTCATTTCGGCATATGCGATATTGGCTCATATCTTTGGCTACATGCTCGGAGCTCTACCTAAGATTAGGGTGATGCTCCACTCCATCGGATTCCAGGAGGATGAACGGCTGTGGACAATGGATTAATCCGGCTATGAAGAAGAGAAAAACGTCGATCGTTAGCTGAAGAAAACTCTTTGCTAACCTTGTATTAGCTCAATAATTCAAGAAAACCCCTAAGATTATTTTCTAAATAATGCGTTTAATATCTTTGACCGCGTTAGCATCCTTGGGAAACGCCCTTCTTTTGAGGTGTACATACTTTAAAGACAGACGTTCAGGAGACGTGTAGCCCAATTCGCTTTTCTTCACAACCTCCTTAACGGTCTCTTCTCTCTGGCAATCTGCAGAACATTTGAAGGTCGCGCTCGCACTGAGTGTTGATCTTCTCTTCTGGACTTCATCTGCATTAGATTCAGCAGCGGATTGGTCTTTTCATATATGCTGTTAAAAACGAAAAGCATGTCGTACTTTTGATTTTTTTGTCTGATGTTACTAGGGCGATCTCATCAGCACAGAGAAGATGGCGTGTCTACCGACAACCGGCTTTCATCCATATGTTTTCTTTTTCCTGTTCGTTTATGGCCTTTTAGTGTAGTGCAGAACAGTTTTGGCTCGCGATCTCTTCCTCTTTGATGAAGATTTCAATCTAGAATGACGACATTCCGATCATAAAACTGTTGGACAGCTTATTAGACACTTTTTATGCTTCTATTGGAATGCTTTGATTATCCAGAGCGTATATTACCCCTTTTCTTTCAACATAACAAGCGATAAATGGAAACCGTTGAAACAGGATCTTTTGACATGGATCACTCTCACTCCAGAAAGCTGTCGGACATGTTCACAGCCGCATTCTTGCCAATGACAAGTGATATATGAATATCTTATCCCAAGCTCGAAAGGAGAAAACCTCATGCTTCACTATTCAAACAGCATTGTTTTTAATCAGTTTGAAAATGTTACTCAATGTGACTTGCATCGTCGAATTTTGACCTAATTGTTATCTCATTGGGAAAAGATTGGTGTGTGTTTCTTAAAAACTCTTCGCTGAGGTACTAATGATAGCTAGCTGCTTCGTCTCACAACTTACCGAGTGTTACTCGTTCAAAAATACAAGTTTGTTCTTCCCAGTGTCCCAGTGTTTTCAATAAAATCCAACTATTCCGAAATTTCGTACCAAGTGAGTCAAAATAAAAATGCTTAGATACTATATCGTCTAATGAAGGACCTCAGCCCGGAGTCGATTTCATCGGACCTAATTGGTTACCACGCACCTACAAAGTGACTTGTTGCCGAGGTGGGGAACCCATCGCCGAAAACACAAGGGTCAGTCTCTTGCCCATTACCTTTGATAATACTTTTTATATTAAACAATTCGGTTTCTGACGAAATCATCACCATTCACCTATAACCTAGTCGGAGAACCAGTAAATCCTACACTTCTATTTTCACTGTATACAAGAACTGTCCAGCCGTCTCTGCTTACTGGCGCATCACAAAGAGCATCACAAAAGGTGTCATCATATTAATTTTTCCTGCTTTTAATGACAAGGTGACCATGGGTAGTTTCCAGGACTCCACTGTGACATACTTCGAGTTTGTGGAAAGAAGTCTCAAAGTATTTTCAGCCTCTGAGAGCTTGTTGGTGTTATGTAGAGCCCGCTGTCTATTGCTGTATAACATATAGAGAAACTCCTTCCCATCAACCATTATGAGGCTGTAAATCATTGGGGTGGTTATTTAAGGAAAATCTTGCTCTGATTTTAAGTAATAAAAAACTGGAACCATGTTAGATCCAAGAATGGTTTTGAAAAACGGTCTGGTACGGACAGTACATTTATTGTACCTAATGATCTGGCACTGTCATCACTATTACCCTTGGATTTATCCTTTCTTTGGTCTTTCAGCTAATCAAGAATTGGACTCAGAGGTCATTCGATTACATTGTTGATGAACACAGTCCAAGTGGTTACAACGATCACTGCAGAGTATTTGAGGTACTAACTCGCTTCCATATTTACCAGTTATTTCCTAAGTTATCTTTTAACGTGAGCGCTGGTCATTGATTTATTTTAATCGAAGAAAAACCGAAAGTGACTCCCACGACCGACTTTCTATTAACCTCGGCATTGATCAAGTAATTCTTCGTATTTTTGTTGAGCAAACGCGAGGTGTTATTATTCTTTATTCACAAATGAGCTGACGTTTCGGCGGATTTCGCCTTCCTCAGAGCCTGCCCACTATTCTCCTCCAGAGGCGGTCCTCCAAATACTGAGCACAAAAGTTTTCCTTCGTCTCGCACTTCTTCCACTTGACAAACATCTGGTTTTGTCGGCTTCGTAGACAGGTGCGTAGTATTCGCAATTCGATGTCCAATACTCGGTGACTGTCCTCTGGTAGTCCGCATACGTCGTGTAGTCGCCTTCGAGTCGTTCCGAACTTCATCAAACGAAGGCGACTACACGACGTATGCGGACTACCAGAGGACAGTCACCGAGTATTGGACATCGAATTGCGAATACTACGCACCTGTCTACGAAGCCGACAAAACCAGATGTTCGCCAAGTGGAAGAAGTGCGAGACGAAGGAAAACTTTTGTGCTCAGTATTTGGAGGACCGCCTCTGGAGGAGAATAGTGGGCAGGCTCTGAGGAAGGCGAAATCCGCCGAAACGTCAGCTCATTTGTGAATAAAGAATAATAACACCTCGCGTTTGCTCAACAAAAATACGAAGAACCGAAAGTGAGTTTTCGTCGCATAGTAACAAGTTTTTCTGATAGCATTACTGCACCAGTTGTTCATTTCACTTGTTATGTAATCGTCGCTCAGTATCCACGCTTGGAGTGTGTGTTGTTCTCACCGAAAATCAATGCTGAGTGAAAAGGCATAGATCGCGTCTTCGTAGCTTCGAATTCTTTTTTAAAATCACCTGTAGAACTTGTACTAAGAACTTCATCTTCTTCATGAATTTCGTTGCCTGCCGCTGAAACTGATCATCCTTGGAATAGGAGGGTTCTGCTGGGACGTTCCAAAGTTTTTATTACGAGCAATCGCAAGATTTTCTTGATCTGAAGGAACTCTTTCCAGAGAATTCTGCCACAGATTTTTCGAATCTGGAAAGGCAGGGAACGCTATTGGACCTGGGTGATGTCGAACCCTTCGCGTGTTATTGATTGGCATTTTTACATGGCGCCTCTCAAATTAATAAGAAAAAAACTTTCTTGAAGTAGCTCTTTAGGATGTTTTTCCTCTTACTTTGAAGCGTCGTTGAATATTTTCTACAAAATCACTGCGAATTAAAAGAAAATGATATTTACCCTCTAAATTGACACTGGAACTCTTGACAAATGATAATTTGACAGAGCAAAAATATTAGAGAAATTCTAAGTTACGGACTAATTTCCGGATAGAACTTCTTTGATGCTGAGATATTTGCAAAACTCCGGACCGCAGGTGTCTACGGTGGGGAACGAACGCGCTATTATCCTTTCCGGGGGCTAACGCGTTCACCACCACACCCATGCGGGTCCTTCAACATACCCTACCATTAAAAGGAGTACGCAGTATATAAAAAGGTTAAGATTGTGATTCTAACTATTGCCTCAGTTTAACTGGGTTCATTGCGGATTTGAACTCCCAGATCAATACCGCTAACGGGTGATCGCTGATGGCAAAAGATCGATAAAACTAGCTGGGAGACAGGCAAAACGAAGGACCTGCATAGTGTAGTGGTGAACGCGTTAGCACCCGGAAAGGGTAATATCGTGCTCGTTACCACCGCTGACACCTGCGGCTCGGAGTTTTGCAAATATCTCAGCATCATAGGTTATGTTTCGCCTCTGCCGTTAAAAAGAGTTAGCAGTCGTTTTCTTGTTCAGCAATCGCAAGGTTTTTAAACAGCATACATTTACTGCCATAAAAAAACACAATACAATACAACACTAGCTGACGTCGCGATTGCTGAACAAGAAAAAGACGCATTCATATTCTAATGCCGAGGTTAATAGAAAGTCGTTCCTGGGAACTATTACAAGAGTTAGCAGTAAATAAAAATGTTAAGATTTGCAGATAGACCCGAGAGACCATAGCTCTACTCGTTACTGTTTTTTCTCATACGTTGTTCCACATTTCGTTGCTGCTTTTAAGGGCACCTTCATGGTCTCAGCTACAGCCCTCTTCAACTTCAGCTTTTCTGGTTATGGAGTCCAATGCAAGTGTCCAGGTGAGTGAAATAGAAACCATCATCAATCCACTACTACAACAGTGTAATTTTGCTCTTTAGTTGGTTTTTTTACCTGATGTCGGGACATTTCTCCTCTATCGCAACCTCGTTGTCATTGTACCTAACGTATTTTTTCAAATTGTTTTCGTAATAATATGAACAAAATTATACCTAGGAGGAATGGCCATCTACGATGTTTAGACTTTGGCAGGCTCGTAACATTTTGCACATAATAAGAAATATTTAATTTTATCTTCACCAGAGGTAGAATGGCCAAACATGTGTAAATTACATATTTTACGGTTTTTTTCTCTTGATTTGACCAGAAAAGCTGAGCGGCCCCACTTTTGTGGTTATTTGGTTCTCACATTGCGTCGCCTTGTTGATTACGTCTTACTTACTTACTTACTTATTTACTTACTTACTTACCTGGATAGCTGGACGAGCCGTCCTCACTCGTGCGGTCCCCAGCATATTCTCCATTTTCGCAATTTTGCTGGTATGGCCATTGTGTTTCCCTGGAGTCCCAAGATCAGCCTGGCCAAAGCCTGCTTTAGGTCTTCACCACCACAGACAATCGCCGCCCTTGTGGATCAGAGGGGGATTTGCCACCGCACTACTAGTTTGATACGAGGACGGTGGTGGATTTTGATGTTCGTTTGCTCCTAGTTGGGTTTTTTGACAGAAACACCGGACTCTTTCTCAGTTTTGCAGATTTGGGAGACACTGCCGGGGAGATAAAGGTGGGGCAGAATTGATTATGTCTTAGAACTAATAAACCAAAAGGCTAAGTAGCCACACCTCTTTCAAACCGCGAGGCGTGACGCACCCACGAGAAACAGTCTTTCGAAATTTTTGGAATTTTCTTAGTTAATAGATTCTTCAGGGGAATCCTTCAGTGTCTTTGGATTTCCAATGTATTTCCACTTCCACGATCGACTTTCTATTAACCTCGGCATTGATCAAGTAATTCTTCGTATTTTTGTTGAGCAAACGCGAGGTGTTATTATTCCTTATTCACGAATAAGCTGACGTTTCGGCGGATTTCGCCTTCCTTAGAGCCTCTTTCTATGAGGTTTCCACTAAGTATGTCACGTAGAGAACAACCACACAGAAATCACATGGAAGTACAATGTGTATTATACACATGTATTATGTATTAATAATAAGGAATAATAACACCTCGCGTTTGCTCAACAAAAATACGAAGAATTATTTCCACTTCGTTCACCTATGAAAAATTCTTTGTATATCATATTTTCTCTCATTTCATAGAAAATCTTCTTACAAATTCCCACGACTGACTTTCTTTTAACCTCGCCATTGATTGATAATTCGATGATTTCCTTCAATAAGCAGACACGAGGTTGGCCTGAGGTATGGCGCCAGGTCGCGCGTGTTGACAAGGCACTCCTTCTTGCGGCTCATTTCCGAATTTTTGGAATTGGTCCAAAACGCTTCAAGAGTTTTACGCATTGAAGTTCTCGATTCGTGCGTAAGGATAGTGACTCCTACCTCGAAATCTTTTCAGTTGTGTTCCTGCATCCTATGCGCGCCTGGTGGAGTGTTTGGTTTATTAATTTAGATTTACCGACTAGGTGTTCTTTTATGCTGACGCAGAGCGGTCTACCCGTTTCGCCAACATATTCGTGCCCGCACGCTTTACAAGAGATCAAATAGACTGCGCCCGAACTCATGCAAACACTGTCTCTACCGTTAGGGCAAATTATGCAGTTTTTCGTTATACATAGGCGGTCATATAGGCGGTTGCACACTAGCTGGCGTCTCAGAGTGTCCGATGGTATTTCTATCACTCTTACGGAATTCTATAGACCGACTCTTATTAAGCAACGTTTTATAGCTGCATTTATTTCGTTTGAAATAAAGGACAAGAAGAACGGAGCCTTGTTTTCGCTAGAATTACAGCTCTGGGACGTGGGTTTTCCTCTATGCCTGTGCCAAGAGGCGACAGTTTTGTAACCATTTGAAATGGCTATTTGGCGCGCCAGTTTCGAGGATTCTTCCCTCTGATCTCTACCTGTGCACACGCTGGCAGCAGTTCGAAACATATTTCTTATAAGCGCCCTTTTAGTGTGTAAGGGATGAGAGGAGAGGTAATGAACCACTATATTCTTACTGCTTGGTTTTCGATACCATTTTGTGTTGTAGCCGTTTTCGGATAGGTTGATTCGAACGTTTAGAAATGGAAGCCAGTTTTCTTTCGGTTTCTCATGGGTGAATTTTATGTACTCTAACTGCTCGCTTAATAACTCGAAGCATTTGTCCATCTCCTCTTGTGTGGAGCAAAAGACAAAACAATCATCTATATACCTACGGTAGAGTAATGGCCTGAGGTCAATTACTGGTGCTTCCACTTTAGGCATAAGAGCAACGGCGAGGGTTGGTGCGAGTCGCTGCCCCATTGCCAGCCCTCTAATTTGCGCGTAATATTTCCTGGACCATCTGAAGATCAAGCAGCTTAAACAGACCTCTAGGAGAATTATAAGCTGCTGAATCGAAAAGTCATACATGTTAATTGCCCCTTAGTGTTGTTCAAGAAGCTCGCAGATGACTTGCATTGCGAAGCCGCTCGACACGTTAGTGTAAAGAGCGGTAACGTCGAACGACTCCATAACGTACGCGCTTTTGGGATGTGCGTTGCGCAGACGGTGTGTGCTTAAGCAACTGGTTGAGGATTAGATTTGTAAACCAAGCAATTCTATCTGTAGGCCCGTCTGCATAACTAATGATGGGTCTAACTTTAAAGGCGGAGGGGTCGGTAGACACCAGATCATCAGCGGATATTAACTTATGGGTCTTGTTAAGTAAGTATAAGACGGGACATGTCGGCCCTTAGATCTTAAAATGCGAAATTTCTGCTGGTTTTAAACCTGCTGCGCTTGCCATTTTCACCCATTCGTTGTTCAGTTTTCGATTCTGACTTCTGAATTCCTTTTCAGTAGACGCGCGATAGAGAGATGCGCCTTCAAGATGTTTTTCCCTTATATCGACATCAAACTGGCGAGGAATTACTGCAAACTCTCCACCCTTGTCACTAACTGATACCCTAAAAATCTTTGATTTTATTAGCTCTCGAACCTATCGCACACCAGATTTTTGCACAGCTGCAAGGTTCGAACTAAACTTTTTTGCGCGATAGTGGCTAAGGACTTTGAAAGTTTCGCTCGAAAATTCGTCATTTAGGTCTTGCTGTCTAAAGAATAACCGAGGAAATGGAGGTAGTGATTGTGCCCCTACTTCTCGTTGTACCTTTGTGTTTTGTGTCTCAATTCTAGCGGTGCTTCGGAGTTGATCTTGCAGCTCGTGCAGGCTGCATGAGATCCTACGCAAGGTTTCTTTAGAAAAGGGTTGCGCTGGTGAGAAACTTGGACCCAATTCTAATAGCAAGCGCGCGTCATCAGGCAGAGTTATGCCTCCTAACGCGGTGATCCTTGATTCTTCAGGCACGTTATCGACCACATTTTTAGTGCTAGCGGTTTCGTAAATGATTTTGTTTTGTTTAATTCAAGCTGGTTTTTGCGAATGATCTAGTAAGTTTTGAAACTCTCTGCTTAAGTTTACTTTAGCATTTGACCTAATAGAATCGCAAATCAAAATTGACCCACCCACTATTCTCCTCCAAAGGGAATCCTCCAAATACTGAACACAGTAAGATTCCCTCGACTTGCACTTCTTCAATAGCACTTACATGGTGTCCTGTTTGCATCGAAGGGAGGCGCGTAGTAGTCGCGTTTCGATGTCCAGTACTACTTGGTTGTCCCTCGGTAGGCCGCATATGGCGCGACTCGGTGTTTCAGGCAGCGGCGGAGAAAGAGTATCGTTTGTCTAGCTAAGGCAATTTTGAAGTAGGAGTCACTATCCTTACGCCGAATCAAAAACATCAGCGCGTAAAACTCTTGAAGCGTTTTGGACCAATTCCAAAAATTCAAAAATGAGCCGCAAGAAGGAGTGTCTTGTCATCACGCGTGACCTCGCGCTATACCTCAGGCTATGACACAGACACACTTATCGCCCATGTATTACTCTGTGCGGCTGCTGTCCATCAACTAACTTAAATACTTACAACAATTAAATGGTAGGTGTTTAAATGAAGGTGTTTCTTATGCGAATACAAATTTATTTGTTAAGTTTTATCTGCTAGAGTCATGAAAGTGTTCGGCTGAGTTGATCGCATCTCAGTTTGACCCTTCCAGGCTCTGAAGAAGGCGAAACCGCCGAAACGTCAGCTATTGTATCCTAATAAATCCTATAATAACAACCTCGTGTCTGCTTGTTGAAGAAAAACATCGAATTCTTACAAATTCTCTAAAACATGCAGGACGTTTGTGAAGATATCGACATGACAATGTTATCAGAAATTAAACATTTATGGCAATGATTACTAGTTAAATCTTTTGAGAATAACGAAACTTGTTTAAAATAATGCAAGGCTGTCTATCTATCGATTTCAGATACTAAAGATGCACTGGATAGGCAGTGTAGAAAGTTAGCACCGTGCAAAAATAACGGGTATCGGTCACAGCCGTTAGGAATGTTGTGTGTATGCATCGAGCCATTTTTTGGAGAATATTGCGACAAAATTTGTAATCAAGGACAAGTTCTAAAAGGTTCAATTTGAATTATTTCAATCTTTTGTATCGATTACATATTATATAGTACAACGATGAACAGCTGAAAATGCTATCGAGCCGCAGCACATTTCGTAAGATGGCGAACCAAAATGGCACTTACTGTTAGGTTTTGCTATCAAATATGGAAGATACTGTATTTGGAAGAGGTGACATTGATCATGGATATAGCTGGTAGATGACGGACCTTCAAACACGATGACTCTATGGGAGTTGCAGTAGATGCCACAGCGAACGAGTTAATCATGTGGGGTTAATGGCAGATAGAATATCATTGAAAGCGCTGATGAGAGTGGAAGACTTTTCTTTGTCCATTTTTTTGTCCACAAATCTATAACCTAAACTGTTATGTGGAAAATGTGCCATCTTACACTACATGTTTGCTGTCTACAAATGTGATAGATTTCCTACTCAATAAGTAAACCATCGTGTCCTATGTAATCAGTATCTATTTTTTGCACATAAGTGTAGTTATTTAACCTAACTAGTTCTTTGATTTAAAAGCCACTATTTCCATGGATTTCAGGAGTTGACGGCAGAAGCTACTGTAGTTGTTTACCATTTTATCGAGGTGAACGATGTACGGAGATGGTGTGCTTGAATGGCGGTACGAAGGAATTCTTTGTAACACTTGTCAAAATCTCGACAAAGGAAGACAACTAACTTAATTACTATTGTTTACATAGTTTTAAATCAAACTTGATGTCCCACGAGATTACTGAAATGCTTCTATTTATCTGAACACAAAAATGATGGATCGAATGGGTGTTGAATTTTGTTCTTTAGGAGTTGAAGCACACGGTAGATGTACATGTCCTCGAAGTTATGCCGGATTTCATTGTGAAATTGATGCAAATCGAACCACTCGACACGGATCACGATACCATCGATTTGAAGATGTCGGTTAAGGTTTTAATTTCCATCCTCTTCTTAAAGGGTCTACTCCAGAACGAATTGGTGTAGCTGTGAATTTCTGATTTTTACGAATACTCTTTATTAGTTCACCTTTTGAGGATGTTTGCAGCGATCTGCAGAACGGAATAATACTTTGGTAAAATGTTCCATATTGTTGCAGCATCAGTGTTCAACCGAAGGCGCTAGTGTAACTTTGATTTGAATGTCGATAAAGAACAAATTATGACGATTCCCAAGACCGACTTTCTGTTAACCTTTCCAGGCTCTGAAGAAGGCGAAACCGCCGAAACGTCAGCAATCGTGTTCTAATTATGACGATGTTTTGCTGTGACACTCCAGTTCTTCTTAGGGTTGATCGCCACACCTTAGCTTAGGTTTGGCTGTTTTCAGATGTAGAACTGTGATGTGCAATAGGGATTCGATCAACGTCGATTAGTGGAAACCCATTTAAAGCTAAATCAATTCCAGTCTCTAAATATAACTAGTATATTAAAGGAACTATTGCAAACTACAAATAGAAATACTAAATTACAAATCTTCGACCGTGCTAAACATTTATCGCGCCTTTCTAAGGATACCTAAGCTTGTGCGCCATCACTCTTCACAGTAATCTTTCAAAGTTTTATAATTAATATGGTAAAATTCGGAAATTTCTTTTCATTCTTTCTTGACATGAATAATCATTAATTTGAAATAATTGATTGACGAAGGCACTGATCGATAGAACTCGCTGAGAGACTGGCGAGAAGAAAGACTCGTATAGTGTGGAGGTGAAAGCGTTGGCCGCCGGTATGGGTAATGGCCGTTCGTCCCCCACCGCAGACACATGCGGTTCGGAGTTTTGCAAATATCTCAGCATCATTGTAGTTATATTTCACATTATACCGTGCTGTGCGAAATTATATTAGGCGGAAAATAAAAGCATAGTTCCCAGGATCGACTTTCTATTAACCTCGGCATTGGAATATGAATGTGTCGCTTTCTTGTTCAGCAATTGCGAGGTTTTTAAACATGATATATTTACTTCCATAAAAAAACAATACAATACAACACTAGCTGACGTTTCGGCAGTATCGCCTTCTTCAGAGCCTGGAAGGGTATGCTGATATACAATCTACTAGGCCAAACGCTTGACGTGTCCTATTCTTTGTCCTAAAGACATAATTGATCAAGAAGTTGCAGTAGTCTTAGCCCATTGGTCCCGACTGAAGCCCCGAAACCCAATTTTGTCTAGCATTCAAATGAAACGATGTTTAATTTTCGGCCGCTTTGGACGTGATGTAGGCGCCTACAGCGTAGTGGTCGGGGGCGCCTATAGGGATCGATTTCCGCGCCCCAGGCCCACCAAGCCTTCCATCCTCCCGGAGTAGGCAAATTGGTAACAGACTTGTCTGGAATGGTAGCAGCATTGGCTCGATACACCACTGGTCATTGTAGTAAAGGCCAGATATGCATTCAATCACCTCTAACAATGCTACGGATGAAGCCAAATGCATAGTGTATTCCTCAGCGGTTGATCAGCGTCGAGATCATGTATCTATTCCTGTTTGTGCGAAACCGCATGCATCATATATGACGCAACTCGGCACCGGTGGCTGAATGTACTGACGTTGTTGTTTATATACTATATATTTCACAGCGGATAATTTTTCAGCGGATTTCTTCTCTTCAGTGATTTCTTCTGCTTTCCAATAATTAGAGAAACCTACAGTTTTTAGTTTTTGTCCAGATAAGGCCGCATACTGGATAGGTCAGTGATTACAGGGGTTTTTCTTGATTGTTTGACAAGTTCAAGAACGTTTGAATTTCAGCGCGAAAAGTTTTAATTTTCCAATAGGGATGGATATTTTTGTCGTACTATTGTTGAAAAGAGAGCAAAATCTGATCTTGGTCTTAGAATGGATGCAACTAACTTTAATTTCAGAGTAATGAGTTGTTCAGCCGTGATATTAGTGGCACGGCATTCAGCTTGGTAATGATCATCGTACTTGTCGTCTCCATGTACTTGCTGATGAAACATAGGATGCAGGTCTGTTGCTAAGTAAAAGAAAAGACTTAGAGACTTCACTCAATACGAAAACGAAGCGTAGCGTTTTCGAGCATTTTTAAGCCGAATGTTTTTTACACAGCGTCTGGGAGAGAAAGTCCGAATTTAAGCAGAAGCCTCGTAGCTGTGGGCATATTTATTTCAAAGCGGGAGAAAACTAAAATGGAGGGGAATCAATTGACTTGTTATGGGTTAGCGGTGAGCACTACTTATTTATCACTCTAACCGCTTAGGTCCAGTCAAGACTCACAGCATCACGTCGTGACGAGATAGCTCATGCAGCAGCGATGTATGGTATTACACGACGTGGTGATATGGTCTCACCACAAGATCTGCGAATTGCTCCGTTCATCGCCGCTGGGATCGATGGACCACCGCCTTATATTTTACACACATATTCTGGTATGCCGTCTCTATAGTAAAGAAAAGGAAGGAGCGTTCAGTATTGGTCAGTGTCTCAAAGATTCGCCATGTATTTAATTCCATTAGTGAAGGTGACTTAGTGCTACTTTGGCCGGTATAATGCCTTGAAAGTGACCTATTGATGTACTATATCAGTGTCTGTAATAGTTCCCAGGATCGACTTTCTATTAACCTCGGCATTGGAATATGAATGTGTCGTTTTCTTATTCAGCAGTGGCGAGGTTTTTAAACAGCATACATTTACTTCCATAAAAAAACACAATACAATACAACACTAGCTGACGTTTCGGCAGTATCACCTTCTTCAGAGCCGCTTTTTCGTGACTTCCAATGACCGTGACTTCCAGTGTCTATAATCCTTCAAATATGTCTGGTACGAATTTCACCACCACGAAGAAAAGGGTCTACTAGTTTAGCCTGAGGTAGATTAAAAAGCCAACAGACCAGTGCGTAAGATCTGAACGCATTCATGAAATGTACAGCATTCTCGTATCGATTAAGCGGAATTCTTCGAAATGATTCTTTTCAACATAGATTTTTGTAGGTAACATAAGTAAGCTTTTGTAACATAAGTTTATGGTACCGTTAGGGCAAAAAACAGACTGAGAGAAAGGGAAAGTACGGCCTTCAGTGGTGCAGTAGGCAACAGGTGAGCTCCCGGAAATGGTAGCCGCGGGTTCGATTCAGGACTGGGGTCCATGTTTTGCAAATATCTCAGCATCATAGTGGTTGTATTTCACATCATAACATGCTGTGAAAAAAGTAATAGGCAATGAATAAAAAGTTAAACATAAGTTTCCGCTAGCTTCTGTATTTACTGCCTATCACATTTCTTTTTCCACGGCAGTGTCTTATGTGTGATACAACCAAAATGATGCTGAGATATTTGCAAAACTCCGGACCGCAGGTGTTTGTGGTGATGAACGAACGCCTTTATCCTTTCCGCGGGCGAACGCTTTCACCACCACACCATGCGGGTCCGTTTCTCCTGTCTCTCAGCTAGTTCCATCGATCAGTGCGATCAGCTATCACCATCAGCGAGATTGATTTGGAGAGCCAAAATCGGCAATGAATCCAGTTGAGCTGAGGCTGTTGTCCATAACTTTTTATTTACTGTCTATTTCAACTTTTCACGTCAGGATACTAAATTGAAATAGGCAGTAAATAAAAAGTTAACATCATGATTTCAACCACAGCCTCAGCTTAACTGGGTTCGCTGGTGATTTTGGTTCTCCAGATCAATCCCATTGGCGAGTGATTGCTGATAGCACTGATCGACAGAAAACTAGCTGAGAGAAGGCGACACGAGCGTTAGCTCCCAGAAAAGGTGAATAGCGCGTTCGTTTGTCACCGAAGACAGCTGCAGTTCGGAGTTTTGCAAATAAATTTTTGTTCCCAGGATCGACTTTCTCTTAACCTCGGCATTGGAATATGAATGAGTTTCCATAGAAAAACAATACAATACAACGCTAGCTGACGTTTCGGCAGTATCGCCTTCTTCAGAGCCTGGAAGGGTATACTGATATACAATCTACTAGGCCAGACGCTTCTATAACACTTACAAAAAGATGAAAGACTCTTTGGTAATTACATGATCAACAACTTCTCGAAAAAAACCCACCGCTTTTTCGTGACTTCCAATAAGGAAGT